AGGAGACCTTTGTAAACCAACTCTTGTTGGAAAACAAATCTCTTGGAGTCTTGACTTATTGTTGAATAACTCAAGACTCTGAAAATGGACCCCCGAAGACCCGAGGACGTCGCGGGACCTGTGGGAGTTGTTGTGGAGAGGCACCGTGACGCTGCTGGTAAGACGACTTTAAAATACAAAAACTCACATAGCTTTTCATTGATGGACTTATTTTATGTGTTCCTCTAAAAACTTTAAAACGATATTGATGTAGAAATGATGTGATTTTCTGAATTTATAGCTGTTGGTTAAAACACAGATGTAATGATAAGGTCGAGGTCAATTTCATTTCTATAGCACATTTAAAAACAACCAGGCTTGATAAAGTTATTGAATGTTTTTTTATTTCAGTGTAAAATGATTATTTGATGGATAAAATGTTAAAAGGGGTTCATTTGATGTATTAATCATGCGTGTGGTGATTCATAAACAATGTGATTTTTCATTTGAGGGCATCAAACTTGACAAAATGTCCATAAAACTGACTGAAACTGCAAAACAACAACAAAAACTGACCAGAGCAGAAATGCTAAAATGTGTGTTTTTGTGGTCAGGTGTGTCCTCTGTGTGGGTCTGTCTGGGTTCAGTTTGATGTCTGATCGTCTTCCTTCACGTTTAAACTCAACTTATTTTCACATGTTGCTGAACCTGAACTATATATGTGGCTGTTTATGGACCTTAAACCTGAACTGTTTCTACGGTTAATGAGACTAATTACCTGACGTCACTGGTGCAGGTCGAGTTGACGCGCTGCTGCTCATCTGAGCGAGAACACTTTAAAATAGTCAAACTACGCTGCTGTGTTTGTGTGTCTTGTGTTGTGCTGCAGTGTTTTGTGGTGCGCTACACTGTGGTGGGTTGTGTTACGCTGTGTTGGGCTGTGTTGCAGTATATTGGTTCAACTGTGCACCGTTGTGTTGTGATAGGTTGTGTTATATTGCACTGTTTGTGTTGTGTTGCACTGCATTGTGTTGGGTTGTATTGTGCAATGTTGTGTTGTGTGCTACCGTGTTGTGCTGTGTTGTGCTGTGTTGTGATGTGTTGTTTTGTGTTGCATTCTGCTGTGTTGTGCTGTGTTGCATTATATTGCGTTCAATTGTGTATCCTTGTGTTGTGTCTTTTATGTCGCTCCATGTTGTTCTTTGTTGTGTTGTGTTGTATTGTGTTGTTTTGTTTTGTACTGCATTGTAGTGTTTTTTTTTTTTGTTGTTCTAATGTGTTATGCTGCTCTGTGTTGTGTTGGGCTGTGATGTGCTGTATTGTACTGTGTCGTATTGTGCAATGTTGTGTTTTGCTATAAGTTGTCGTGTTTCTCTGTGTTGTGTTTTACTGTTGTGTTGTATTATATTGTGCTATGTTGTGTTGTAGTGTGCTCTGTTGTTCTGCGTTGTGTTGCCCCATGTGCTTTGTTGTGTTGTGTTGTATTGCTTTGTTTTGTATTGTGCTACATTGGCTTTTGTTACCGTGTTGCGCTGTTTTACTACATTGTGGTGGGTTGTGCTGTGCTAAGTTGTACTGTGATGTGTTGTAGTGTGTTGTTGTATTCTGTTTTGTGCTGCATTGTGGTGGATTGTAGTGTGTTGTGTTATGCTGCATTGTGCTGTGATGCATTGTGTTGTATTGTACTGTGTGGTGTTGTTCTGTGGTGTGGTGTTTTTGCATTATATTGCATTCAATTGTGTATCCTTGTGTTGTGTCTTTTATGTCGCCCCATGTTGTACTTTGTTGTGTTGTACTGCGTTGTTTTGTTTTGTGCTGTACTGTATTGTGTTCTGCTGCGTTGTGCTACATTGTCTTGTTTTGTGTTGCTTGTGTTGTACTGCGTTGTAGTGGGTTTTGTTGTAGTGTGTTGTGTTGTACTGCGCCGTATTGTGCAGTGTTGTGTTGTAGTGTGCTGTATTGTTCTGTATTGTGCCGTGATGTGTTTTATTACATTGTGTTGTACAGTGTTGTGTTCTGCTGTGTTGTGCTACATTGTCATAGGTTGCATTGTGCTGTGTTGTGTTGTTTTATGTTGTCCTGCATTGTGTCGTGTTGTACTGTGTTTTAGTGTGCTATGTTGTGCTGTATTGTGCTGTGTTGTGCTGTGTTGTGCTGTATTGTGGTGTGTTGTATTACGTTGTGTTGTGCTGGATTGCTTTTTGTTGCGTTCAATTTTGCACCATTGTGTTCTGCTGTGTTTTTTATGTTGTGCTCTGTTGTGTTGTGTTCTGCATTGTGGTTTGTTTTGCTGTAATGTGTTGCTTTGTATTGTGTTGTGCTGTAATGTGTTGCTTTGTATTGTGTTGTGCTGAATTGTGCTGTACTGCAGTATGTGGTGTTGCACTGTGCTGTGTTGTGTTGCACTCTTGTGCTGTGTTGCATTCACTCAAACTTGGACATCAGAGTTTCAGTGAATGAACTTAACCAATAAGAGGCGCCACTGCTTGTGTGACTGTAGTGTGTCCTGTTGTTGTAATGTTTTAAATGTCATCATTGGCTGCAGTCGTTTGTGTGTTCAGCTGAATCTCTGACACAGAGTTTGGAGCCGGCGACTCACATCCAGCGTGTGTTGTGTTTGTGGATCAGTTGTTGGACGGTTATAGTCGGGTGTTTGTAGCTTTAGTTGTGACCTAATCATGTTAGAAATGCTAACGGGACATGACCTTGTTTCCTCTCAGGGTTTGTGGACTACGTCGTGGAGCATCCCGCAGACGGCCGCCCGGAGATCATCTGGGTCATCGATGACAACGGCCGTGTCGTTGTCTTCGATGATTCAGATGAGTCTTCCGATGAAGAAGAGGTCTGGACCGACGACGAGAGCACCAGCGAAGACTCCGGCTATAGCAGCCTAGACGAGGACGAAGAGGACATGGAGGTCGACGTAGAAGAGGACGTCCGACCACGGTCCCCCCTGGTCCAACGTCTCCCCCCTCCTGCTGGTGCTCCACTCATCGCTGCCCCCGCTGATCCCCTTGCTTTCCACATCAGCTCCTTCCTAAAGAGGGCCCGGGAAGAGAGCGATGTGGCGAGGCAGGTAAGTCCGAAGAGGCAGCGGGCCAGTGAAGAAGAAGACCCGGAGGAAGGACCTTCCACTTCCCGTGCCGCTTCTTCCACAAACCCAGCACCGGACCCCACCGCGTCACGTCCCGCTTCGTCAGGTCTGGACTTCCCTGTGATGGGTGGAAACTGGTTCAGGCCTTTTTGGAGTCCTGGCACTGACAGTGACTCCGATTAGTGTCCTGAGCGGTGGAAGCTCTGAGCAGAGAAGCCACAGCTGACCAGCAGCTCCCACTGCTGACTGCAGGGATCAAAAAACAACAACAAGATCCCTGCAAGTAAAAATCCTCCTTCACAGAATGTGATTACATCTGAGGAGGCTTCTCCCTCATTCATCTTCTGTGAACGTAGCCTTGGCCAGGAGGAGTTGATGTCGTCAGACGGTGTCCTTGGATCATCAAGATCCTCTACAGCCGACCTCAACTGCAAACAGCCATGCCGGCCAGCCTTTCCCCCTGCAGTCATCCAAGAGGTCCTGGTATTTGGCGCTCTTCCTTTCAAAGGATTGATCACAACCTTCCTCCCATGGGACTGTAAGCTCAAGGAGAATGATCTTTTTAGCTTCTTCAGACCACAGCACTA